GTCCCAACTTGTACAGACCCATCTGTGAGATATACAGACCCACCTGTGAACACTTCCTCACGGTAGTATTTGCCAAACGAATCCCGCGTTCAATCTTTGGTCGTCGCGACCCCCCCCCCATTATCTCTACAAGGATGAAAGAGCAGTTCGTCGTTCGCACAGTTTATAACAAAGAGTTATATGTGTTGCGTCAATCACGGGTATCGAAACCTGGGTTTTAGCGTTTGAAATCTCCAGACTTACCGCCGAGGCACTTTGGGGGGAGTCCTTTTTTGATACGTTTATTATTACAAGTAATCATCTAAATCTTCCTAGTCATCCTGTATCACTGTGTCAAGTTGTGATTATTTGATAGTTTTACCGAAATCAGATATGAAATAAGAAGGGGATCCATCCCCCCAACCCCTTCCTCGCGTCATCCTATATCGCTGTGTCAAGTCTGGTGCTGATTGATCAAGAGATGTACAAACGTATAAGGAATAGATGGCTGAAACATGCGAACAAGCAGACACAAACTTAGTTTTATATATATTAGATATTACAAACTTGTGAAACATCTCAAGTGGCCATTTTTAGAACTTGAAGTTCGTTGCACAATTTACTTACACACGGGATAAAATTTCTAAATGAATATATTGTTTTAATCTATAGTTTTAGTTCAATTGTTTGCTAGAGGGAGCTTCTAACATGATGGGTATGCTAGTTTTAGAAAGTTAATAAAAGTAGTTCTAGACTGTCCGTGAATGTTAATGACTTTGAGAGATATTTAGAAAGAAGAATACGTTATACATACGATAATGAATATAATTTTCAGATCGTTCTGTGATTGAGAAGTTGGTCAAGTGTTCGGATCAGTTTTAGTTACCAGTTACTCGATCGATTAGCCGAGAAATTGTATAAGTTTATTTGTACTTTATTCGTAGTACCATAAGCGAGTAAATTTCTGTTGAAAGTGAAAACGTTATTTGTAAACCTAGGCCTACAACTGTGTACAAGTGATAGTAACCTTTAGCCTTTTGGGGCGATGAGGATAGGAGTCGAGCCCACTGGCTCAGAATGTTGGAAGATGTGAATCGTACTTGACGGATTTATTTTGATAACTGATGCCTAATCACACACATTCTACACTAGTGGTATAGACGTACTATAATTATATATGACTGGCGATCAGGAAATAAAATCCCGTTTCTTTCTCGACATACGTCGCAGAACAAGCAACAATATAGTTTTTATATATATATATATATATATATAGAAGAATAACGAC